TTTCATACAGGAGACCCAGGTTTGACCCAGCCACTCCTCCTCTCTCAGCAGAGGCCCGCACGTTCCTGTAACGCTGGACAGGTTTTAGTGGCACTTCCAAACTAAGATAGACTAGGGAGGAAGGCCTGGGGGTCAACTTCTAAAAATCAACCCTCCTCCCCAAAAAACCCTATGGATGACAACAGTCCAGCCTGCAACTGATCATGGGTATAGCCCAGGATGGAGCAACACTTTGTTCCATTGTGCACAGGGTCCTCCTGAATTGATGGTTGGCTAGATAGCAGTTAACAATGCTATATTAATAGCAGACCAAGTAGACTTCTGAGTAGGAAATATTACCAGAGATTAAGAGAAGCATTATATCATTTCTTCAAGAAGATGTAACAATTATCGAAGTAAATGCACCTAACAACAGAGCTTCAACGTACCTGAAGTGAAAACAGACAGAATGGTAGGAGAAGTGGAAGGGTCTCCATTAGAGTTGGAACCTTCAAAACTCTACCTCAATGACAGAACAAGTGGAGCATACATCAGTAAGGATATGGAAGACCTGAACAGCATGTAATCACCTAGGCCCCGTTGATATTTGTAGAACATTCCACTCATCAACAGAAAGATGTATATTCCTGGTGTGGCTCTGGACATTACCCAATAAAGAGCATATTCCAGAAAATAGAGCCAGAAACCAGACCTTAACACATTTCAAAGCACCGAAGTCATTCGCAGGACCTTATCTAGATATATCCTCAATTGTTTGGGAATTAGACAAACCAGTTTCTCTCATGTCAATCCCAATTCATAGTGACTCATGTGTCTAAGAGCACAACGATGCTTTACAAAGCTTTCAATAGCTGGTCTTTGGGAAATAGATGGCCAGACCTTTCTTCTGAGGTACCTCTAGGTGAACTGGAATGTCTAACCTTTCAATTAGCAGTCAAGAGTATTAATGGATTGCATCACCCAGGGACCCTGAAATTAAATAACACACTTCTTAAATATCCCACAAGGCAAAGAGAAAAATCATGAAATTAGAAAAATATTTTTTAATGAAATGAAAATGAAAGCCCCACCTATGAAAAGTTGTAGGATGCAGCCAAAGAGATTCCTCAGAGGCAAATTCATAGCATCAAATGTTTATATTGAAAATATCGATACTAAGATCATTGGAAAGCTAATAAAGTAGCATACAGAGCCTGGCACAGGAGTGATCAGTCCTCCCAGACTCTGAAGGTGACTTTGGGCTGGCCCTATCCCTTTTGCAGATGTAGACAAGAGTACCATCCTGGTGGGGCAGGTATGTCAATTTGGCCAGTGCCTCAACACAGCTGGCTCCTTCTATTGCCTCTGCCAGGAGGGTTTTGAGCTTCCAGCCGATGGGAAGAACTGCAGGGGTGAGTCTCTGCAGGAGCTGGGGGGCCATCCCACCTGAAAGTCAGCACTTCACACCTGTTGTTTCACAGGTTCTGTGATTTAGGGTAAGGCTGTCTTGAAAGTCTTAGCTTTTCTACACTAAGGAATAGTAGGGATGCTGATTAGATATCAGAGAAACTGGGAGAGGATCTATAAGGGACCTGATGTTAAAAGCTTTACTCCTTCTTCCCCCGAGGCCCCACCTGGCTCCACCTAGAATTCCCACCAAAGTCTGGATAATTCTTCCACAGCTTCCCCGGCTTTCCTGGTCTCAGCCCTTTACCTGGAGCCAGAGATGCCACAACCAGGCCTTATCCTGGGGCCCTCAGTCATTACATAGTACCCACAGGTGCTGGTCCCAGTGTAAGAGCTCCCTGCCCCTCTGGCTGGTGCTGGGACCTTTCCTCCACAGATATCAATGAGTGTCGCAGCCTGGCAGGAAGCTGCCTGCCAGGAACATGCCTGAACCTTGAGGGTTCCTTCCGCTGCATCTGCCCACCTGGCTTCCAGGTGCAAAGTGACCACTGCGTCGGTAAGTGTCTCGGGGTCCAGCACTGTGCCTGTAGACCTCCATGTTCCCCCGCTGGAACATGGGATGCCAGCCAGGCCACAGTGAGGGTGAAGATGCACTCGGCACCAGACACAGTTCTGTGTGCTATTGTTGCTATTATGATTACTCTGGGACCCCCGGGCTCAGGGCTCTCTCTCCCCAGGCCACAGATGCCCTCATGCACCCTGGGCAATGGGTATGGATGTGCTGGGTCTCATTCCCCCTCATTAGGCCAGCTTGGGGGGTGAGGGGGAGTGGCAGGGTGCCTGAGGTTTTCAGAAGCATCTCTTGTTCTGCGTGCCCTTGGGGCAGGCTGAGGCTCAGGTTGCTCCCCTGTGCAATGGGGCTGCAGGTGATGGGTTGGGGCTGACACGAATCAGCAGGAGGTGGCACGTTCTCGAACACCATCACTCTGTGGTCACTTGTCACTGCCCTGTAGGTCAGAGGAACCGGCCGGCTCGGGAAATGGAATCCCTAGGAAGGGTCTGAAAGACACGTCACCCCCTCTCTTCTCATGCTCAGAGCTCTCCCTCTCACTGGGCGCAGTTTGAGGGGAGATAGTCACAGAGCAACAAGAATGTCTCAAGGATGCCTACTGGGGCCTGACTGGAGGCTGGCCTGCCAACTTTGCGGGGCCAAGCACACTGACCAGAGAGGGGTCCCAAGGACTTGACAGCAGTCCCTGGAGCGGCCCTTCTCCTGGGCTAACCTTTCACACACATCGAGCTGCTCTTCAGCTTAGGCTAACCACCTTTGTCTGGGCTGGTCCAGGCCAGTCTGGCCTGCCCTCCTCTGATCCATTCTGTCATCTGAGCTAGCCTGCTGCAAGCTCAGTCAGAGTTGTTGGGCCTGACCTCATCTGTTTTGTCCTTTGATTTAGGCTAACCTTGTGCTGTCTGGGCAAATCTGCGCCTGCCCTCCTCTGTCTAACCCACGTGGGTTAGCCTTGTATAGCTTGGTCTGGCTAGACTGCCTCTGGTCAAGTCGTTCACCTGGGCTAGCCCAGGAGAACCTGAACAGGACTTGTCTGACCTGACCTGCTCTGGTTCCATAGATCAAAGCTCTTCCATCTGGGCTAGCCTTGTCCAGGCTGGGCTACCTGGACCTGCCCAGCTTGGCCTCCCCTGCTCTCATCCATCTGGGCTCCAAAACTCTCAGACTCACAGCTAGCAAGTTGATTCTGACTCAGAGACCCTACAGGGCAGAGCAGAACTGCCCTTTGGGTTTCTGAGGCTATAACTCTTTAGGCAAGTAGAAAGCCTTATCTGTCTCCCATGGAGAGGCAGGTGGTAACCCACTACATGACCAGAGCTCCTTAATCCATGTGGTCGAGCCTAGAACAATCTAGATTAATCTTGTCTGGTGTGCGTGCCATTTATCCAGTCTCAGTCCGCTTGGTACACTTTAGTCTCTAAAGATACATTTCTCCTGACTGTGGCCCCAGACCCTAGAGGCACCTTCTAGAAAATTCCTGCCCACCTAGTGCTCTGGCTTTTGGGACTCCTGCCTAGCTTCAGCCCTCGAGAGGCCTAGCCTGTCCCCAGCACCACTGCAGAGGCTATGCTACACCTGCTGAGGTGGCCCCCAGCCACCCCCAGCTCCCACGCCTCCCCCGCAGACATCGATGAGTGCTCAGAAGAGCCCAGCCTCTGCCTCCTTGGCTCCTGCACTAACCTCCCCGGAAGCTTCCAGTGCTTCTGCCCGGCTGGCTTCATCCTCTCCGACCAGGGGCGCCGCTGCTTTGGTGAGTCCAGGTACAGGGAAGAGGGTAGGAGGTGGGCGGGAAGTCAGAGTTGAAATCACCCCATTCTGAAGGGCCTGAGGTTTCTTGCCCAGTGCTCCAGGAGGCTGGCCAGGGAGCGAGGCTTCTCAGCTGGCAGGGACGGTGCTCAGACCACATGGTTAAATGAGCTCGCCTGCTAACCAAACATAGAGACAGACCTCGGAGAAAAGGCTTGACTACCTGGGTCTAAGAACTCTGCCTGTGAATGCCGCCCTGTGGGACACACTCCCCATTGGACACACTTGGGGGACTAAGATCTGGGGCTCACTCCACAGTGGCTGATTCTGAATGCTATCCATGGGGACCCTTGCTTCCCTATCCAGCTGGTCTGGTCCAGTCTGAGCAAGCCTGGGCCACATGGGGCTGGCTGCTTCTCAGCTGGGCTAGCCTGGTCCTGAATTGGTGTAGCCTTAGATATTGGGGCATCAAGGGGGAGGACAAGGGCCTGTGGGCCAACTCAATCTGTACCTGGTGTCTGAAAGCTAATGGGGACTGGGTGAATCAGTCCCCAGCCCATCCATCTCCAGGCGTCTCAGGCCAAAGGGAGTCTGGGGCGGGGGTCAGCAGGGAGCATTTGGGGTCTGAAATCCCGATGCCCTGGAATCTGTTTGAGTTAGTTAATTGTGCCAGCCTGGCCGATAATCACATGTGGGTCTGGTTGAAAGGAGGAGGGATAAATGGGTGGTAAAGCCTCGCCTTTCTAGTTCTCAGGTCTCTTGTTTTGTGATGGTTGCATCGGGTGCAGCTGCCTTAGCAGTTCCCTGCTTCAACTTGCAAGATGGATTTCCTACAAGACATCCTCAAGGAGAAGCCGCATGGATCTATCCCGATGCAGCCCTGGGTGCTGGAACAGCCATGTGGAGACCCCTGCCAGTGCTGAGATGCTTACACTTTCAATGACTCAGCTTTCCTCCTGCAGTCGGCATTATTGCCTCTGTTTTGTGAGGTGGTGGACTTTGTGGACTGGTGTTGGGTATGGGTTAATGTTGGACTTGTGGACTTGGGCAGCATTGGGTTGGGATGTTTTCGTGATGCACCTTTTCTTTACATAAAACTCTCTCTTATACGTGAGTTGCTGTGGATTTGTTTCTCCAAAGTACCTAGACTAATACACTGTTTCTTTGTGAATGAGGGGGCCATGTTTTTGATGCCATCTCCCTGGCCTGAGGGCACCTCCTTAGCCATGAAGATAGGCAAGGACAGGGCTGGGAGGGGTTCCCAGGAACCCCTCCAAAGTCTCAGGGCTGGCTCTCATTGGCTCAGTGTTTCCACTCCCCCCAGCCAATCCCCATGGCTGTGGGCCTGGAGTGTCCTGATTGGCCATGGGTGGGTCAGCCCGCCCACTCTTCAGAACTGAGGTGGAGGTGGGGTGCTGATGGCTGGCCCGCTTTCCTCTAGGGCAGCAGTTCTCAACCTGTGGGTCATGACCCCTTTGGGAGTCAAACGACCCTTTCACAGGGGTCGCCCAATTCATAACAGTAGCAAAATTACAGTTATAAAGTAGCAATGAAAATAATTTTATGGTTGTGGATCACCACAACATGAGAAACGGTATTAAAGGGTCGGAGCATTAGGAAGGTTGAGAACCACTGCTCTAAGGCAAAGCTCATTCATTTATTCCCTCATGCATTTCATCCTCCGTTCATCAGTTCACTCATTGATGGCTTCCAGCATGCCTTGATACACCCATTCTTGTTTTCTGGCTCACTCATTCATTCATTCAGTAGGGCATTTGTGTCCCTTTGTTCATAGGAGCCTTCATTTGATCACGCAGCTACTTGTGCAATCATTAATTCCCTCCTTCACTCATTCGTCCTCACCCCACAGACACGCAGCGGAATTTCTGCTTCACCCATTTCCAGGGCGGGAAGTGCTCGGTGGCGCCCTAAGCTTCCACCGCCACCAGAGCCCAGTGCTGCTGCAGCCAGCGGCCTGGCCAGGGCTGGGGCCACCCCTGGGAACTGCGTCCTCAGGAGGGCAGTGATGAGTGGGGCGGGGCGCTCCGCCTGGGGTGGGGCTGACACTGGTTCCGCCTGCAGCCCCATGGGGGCTCTCCTCCCCTGACCCCACTTCCCCTCCCGTGTCCAGCCGCCTTTCAGGAGCTGTGCCCCTTTGGCCACGGGGCAGTGCCCGGCCTGGATGACTCTCGAGAAGGTGAGCCCTTCACCCATATTCGAAGAGCCCCCCGGACTGCGCACCCCTGCCCTTTCCCACTGCCTGCGTCCCCCAGTCAGTGCCTGGCATGAATGGGTGGCTCTCCAGGCTGCCCGTGACCCCACTGGTCAGGACCTGAGTCCTCGTTCCCCCGGAAGGAAGGACCCAGGGCCCTGCATGTGTCCCACGCCCACCCTGCCTGCAACCCTGCTGCCCGCAGACGTGGACGAGGGCACGGCCAGCCCCAGCGTCTGCGGCAACGGCGCCTGCGTCAACACGGACTGCTCGTCCCCGCTGCGAGTGTCCCCGTGGCTACAGCCTGGACTCCACGCGCATGCGCTTTGCTGGTGAGGGTGCCACCCTGTGCCTTAGGGGGGGTGGTCTTCCTCACCACCCTGCCCACGCCCACCCTCTCCCCTACATCTCACTCACTCTTGTATTCCTTCCCTCGCTCACCCACACATTCCTCCCCTCTTCTCTTGGGTCATTCACTCCCTCATTCTCGTCCATTCATTCCCTCGCTCGCTGACTGCCTAGCTCGTCCTTCCTTCCTTCCTTCATCAACCACTCGTTCATTCCCTCACATGCTCGGTCGCCCTCATTTATTCATCTGTTCATTCACTTATTCACCTATCACGTTCTCATACACATCCATTCATATACTCATTTGTTTGCTCCTGTGTTAGTCTGGGTAAGCTTGTCTGGTGTGCGTGCCATTTATCCAGTCTCAG